TTTACTTAATTGTTATGGCTAGAGACGCAGAGGCAGCGCGAAGAGGTAAAAGCAAGGAGAGGGGTATCCAAAAATTGGAGAAAATAGTTTAAGAAGTTTCTCTGAATTTAAACAAAATTTATATTTCTCCATAATCGAGTGGTACTTCAGTAATTTCTTAAAATTTCAGTCCAAACCTTCGAAAGCAGGGAGTAACCTCCCCTCGTTCGTGCCGCTCCTGTTGAGATGAAACTTTAACTATAAAAATTAACATAAAACTATAAACTCTAGTTTTAAAGTAATGTGCTAATTGTACTTCTAACTTAATATTCTAGTACAAAATTTATTTGATTTATAGGAATGAAACTGATGTTGGCTTCTCATTTCGATTAGAAAAAGAAGATTTTGTTATTTGACAATGCTAAAAAGATAAATTCTATCATAATTATTTCGAATCTGATTCATTTACAAGTTCAACTAATATATGAAAACAGTTTGCTTAATATTTCTGATATAAGTCAAGTATAAAAGTCATATATGAGGCATAAAGAACATAGAATTAGAGAATCTTAAAAATACTGTAATGTTGAAGGAAATGAATCTTGCCCTTTTTTTATTTTTACTTTTATAATAAATCATTCATTTAGATTGATTGATGCATATATGATCTAATTAAAGTGTTTATCAAGTCAAATCAAAACTAAAATGTAAAACAATCATTCAATGTTGAATACTTATATTACTGATCGATATTTTCGTTTATTCACAAATGAAATTTACAATTTAATAGAAAAATATTTCAATGAGATTAAATTTTTTGTTTGATTTTTAATCAATCATTTCTTTTCAATTGTTGATTTTTAAATGAATATTATCAGAATTTTTGTCTAAAACACTTCAATTCTAAATATATTCATCAAGTCAATTTAAAAAAAAATGTTACTATTATGCTTCCCATGTCGTGAGAATCACCGCGATTTTCGCGATTTGCTAAAAAATTGGCGTAAAATCGTGATTTATCGTATTTCTTTAAAAGATCGACGATTATATCAGATTTTATCGCGATTATGGGAGAAGAGCTGATTTTCAAAAATCATTGATAAATCATGACAATTATTCATTCACCATTTTGTTATGAACACACACGGATAGATAAACAACGCCGTTCAATGCATAACAAATAAGTTTTCGAAATATACTTTTCTGATAAATTATTTCTTGGTTATTTTTAATCAAGGAAATGCCAATCCCGATCCATGATCTGGAGAGGGCTACACTGAAGCAGTCTGATAAAAATCGGACCAGTTCGAGATCGGACAGATCGCACGATCTGATCGGCTTGGATCTTGCGAACAAAAAAAATTGAAATAAATTCAAGAAAAAATCCAAATATGTGTCTCCAAAAGAACCAATGAAATAGTAGAAAATATCAGTAAACAGACGGTTAAATCTTGCATAAAATCACGATTTATCGTAAAAATCGCTGAAATAATCGGCGATTCTATCGCGATTCAGCTCACGATTATCGTTTCGATGAATCGGGATTAATCGGCAATTTTTAGCCGATTCAAAGGACATGGGTTTTTACATACGTCCAATAGAAAGAATTCGATCGATTTTTTTACTTATTTTTTCATTTCAATCTATGATTCTATTTTGTTAACAGCTAAAATCGACTTAGATGTTCTTAGATTTTACTTGTACATAATACTAAAAGACTGTCAATGAAAAGTTGAAAATAAATTAATCACAAAAAAGAAATTTATAGTTTTAGTAAATTATCTTTATTGATATTATGCATACATCGTCTTTTTTAATTTATAATAAACTCTATTTTCTTTAGAATCATCGAGAAAAAGAATCTTATAATAGACAATGCGTTGTAGTAATGAAAAGTCTTTTTTTGATTTGTTTCAATAAGATTAAATGTTGCAAATAAATATTTTTCTTCGGATATTGTCTATTAATAACAAGTGAGCCATAGTAAATATGATTCTTCCCAGTATTTTGACTTAAACATGTTGACTAATCAATCTGTCAATCAGATTTATTTTCTAGAAAATGTGACATCAAAATATTTACATAATGAAATTTATGCCTAAAGAAAGTTAAAGAGAAATTTTTTCCATCTTAGATACGTTTCAAAATTAAAAAAAAAACAAGTTTCAACATTTTCAATCTGTAATTGCAGAATTTTTTAAAAGTGTTGTGTAACAAAACAAAAAAAATCATCTCTTGTGTTCTGATTTCTATATCGAATTCAGTGATAAAAATTTTATTTTGACAATACCTTTTCCAATTCAGCTTTATTTTAATTCTGTATTTAGTTTCATAAGAATTTTAAAGTAAATGTCAAGAGTGAATATTTTTTAGAGTACATGAAAAATATCTCTATTTTTGTTTCATTGTTGTTAAAGTTATGTAAAAATACTTAAAAGGATTTAAAATAAAGTAATTTTGAAAGTTTGTCAATCTCTATAGGTTGAGTCTTCTCTATTTAAATTTCGACAGGATTTAAATCTAGTAAAATTTGATTTTATATCTTATGGAAAAAATAAATGCATCAAATGATTGACAAGTTATAATTTATTTAACTAAACATATCTATCATGATTATTTCAAACAACAATCATACTTTTCTTCTATCAAGAAAATTTAATTACAATAGACTAAATAAAATGGTAATGCGACTACATTGTAAATCATGTCTATAAACTCGATAATTCATTATAGATATATAAAATATTCAATGCTAGATTTCATATATTTTTATATATATCTATAAATAATGTTCTTAATAGTTGAAAATTATCGTAGCTATATTTGTTCTTTGTAATAGAAAGAAAAAATTTGATATATATCTTTATTAAGATTAACGATTTGATTTACATGATCATGAATATGAAAAATAATAAACCGTTGTTGAATTAACTTTTTCTTTTTATTTCTATTCAATTGATATAAAACTATCAATCTTACTTTTACTTTATCATAGATTGAACGTAATACCATGTAAACTTTCAAGATTTGAATTACTTAGGCCATGGGTTTTTTTCAAACCTATAAAAATTCCCTTAATTCATTTCCAATTTCTTAATCGTATCAAGTTAATATGAAATCAATGAAAATATAATACTAGTTTTTGATAAAAAAAAATAATGTATGTTAGCATCCTTTCTAGTAGGCGTCCAGTAAACATTTTTTTTTTGTTTTCTTATAGTTATCTTTTATAAAATACTAATTTACAAGCGTCAATGGATAACCTTTATTCGTCTAGAATTAAATCTATGGATAGAAAATATTAAACATTGATGAATATACAAAAAGACAACTTCGAGCATCATGTAGAAATTATTGATCAATTTATATAGTTGCTGAGCTTCAATAAATATTTTATTTTGAAACAAAACAAAAACAAGACATGGCGTATGCTTAGTCAATCGAAAAATACCTATTATTTTTGTTTTGTTTTTGTTCTTATTTTTCGTTTCATCTTCAAATTGATGTCATAATGAATAATTTCAAATGTCATTTTTTTTACCAACTGTAAGGTAAGTATACCTTTTTTTTTGTTATATTAACTTTTTTGATTGGCTAAGCTATTTTTTATGAAGATTGATTATTATTTGATGTATGCATCAATATTATAATGTATCATGCATGAAAATATTTTCGTATAAAACATTGTATATGACAAATATTTATTTACAAAACATATTCTTATATTTATATAATAGTTCGATGATAAAAAAAAACAAATCAATATCCTAATTTGAGTTGAATTTAACTAATAATTTATCCGAATTCTTAAACGGTTACTCATTCAATCGATACTGTGACTTTAAATATAGGTCAAAATACAAATCATATAAAATGTATTTTCTTTTTTCGAGTTTTTTTAGCTGTGTCAATTACCATTGGTTTGACGCTTAAACAAAAAATAAAATCCTTTCTCGTATCAATTGACATGTATATTTTTTTTTTGAATGATGTTAATGATCAATTCAGGGGATACAATCATGTGAAGATATTACGTTCTTTTTTTTCATAAGTAAATGAAGCATAGAGTAACATGTGCGTAAGGTGAGCTTGTGCAAGTGCATATTAATAATCATAACTATTCTCTTACATATATATGTTTTTGCGTAGGTGGCATTGATGAAAATTTATCTTTTTTAGTATATATATATATACATGATATGATATGTCGTTGATTGCAAAGAATAATGACAGAAAAAAAGAAAGAAAAGAATAGATAAATGTCTGTCTACTTCAAGCAAATAGATTATAAGATATGCCTTGTGACGAAAAAATGATAGATAGTGTTTAGTACAGTATTTAATAAAGAATAGATAGATTTATATATAGATTGGTAACTCTTTTCATCAAATATACCACTGAGGACAGGTTGAAGAAAAAGAAGCGACTTATCATCCGAAAAAAAAACATCGATTTTATGTTGATGAAGAGAAAAAAAAGAAAAAAAAGAACAAGTAAAAGATAGTCTATGTTTACTTTTTATAGTCATCACTCACCTAAAAAAAAGAAAAAAAAAGAAAGTAATCAATGTTATAGAATACCGATAATCATAATTTTATCGTTTTTTTTTCATTTTGCTACCTGTTTGCATTCTTTTTTTTTTCTTTCTCAATAACGTCCCTGATGTAATTATATGTATGTGGTCAGATTTATATTTTGTATACGTATATGTGTGTATAGCAAAGAAAAGGGTAAAGGAGAGAAAATGAGGGATGCATAATGATAAAGATATGGTATTAAATTGGAGTGTGCACCCGTTTCTCCCCCCCCCCCCCCCCTCTCTCTCTCTTTCTATCACATAGAGACATATTCTTTTTCTATCCTTTTCCTACTACGCAAAGAAAACAAGCGACAACGTTGATGACACTCTGATGCTAATCGAGCGTTGATTGAAGCATTTCTACTATTGTAACCATCATCACTTTTACCACATCATAAAGAGACACTACCGACACAATACACCATCATAACAACCACAACCTATGGCTAAGAAAAGTAAAGATACCGCAGCTGCTGCTAAGAAAGAACCAAAAGTAAAAGCTCCTGTGGATCCGGTCAAGACTAAAAATCTAGTTCGTTTATTAGATATTCTTGCTTTATTATTAGCTATAGCTGCTTTTCTACTTCAATTATTTGCTGTCATTTCTCATCATTGGAAATGGCAAAAAACAGATCTTCATTCAATACTATCATCAAATCTTCCGCATTCTTCACAAAAGATTTACGAAGATAGTCGACTTGATCAAAATTATGGTTTATATTCACGTGAAGTTAAAGTTTATGGTAATAATGATGAACAAATTGATTCTTGGGCAAGTACACGTTTTCCAAGACTTGATGGAGGTGAAGATCATTTACATCAATGTTTATCTCACACATCAAGTCTTCGTAGTGCATTCCTTACTTGTTCCCAATATGTTAGTTCACCAGAAGAATGTCATTGCCGACGACATGGCTATTGGAATTTCGTTATTTTCTTTGAAATTCTTGCATTAATTTTACTTGGTATTGTTGTATTTCTTACAGCTTTACTTCCAACACAATTTCGTCTTTTACTTAAATTAGCGGCTGCTGGTTTAGCATTATTTGCTTTTCTTGTTTTATTAATTGGCCTTATATTAATTCTAAGTTATCGTAAACGTGAAACACAATCGTTTGCTGATATATTTCCACATATATATCAACGACTCGTTCATACACTTGGTTATGGTCATAATACACAACAACTTTCACGACGTAGTCCAACTGTACTTCGTCAAGCTATTCGTCGTCAAACAAAGGAAACTTATCGAGCATATGCTTTACCAACTAATGGATATCCATATAATCAAACACATTATCAAATATTTTCACAACAAGAATTTAAATGGGTTTATAGACCATATTCAGGTTTTGTTCAACCTCTTACTTATGAAACATCACCAAAAAGTCCAGTTATTATTACAGTTAATCCACCAATTGAAGCGACTGATGCATCACATATAACTGGACATAATCAATTACTTGGTTATGATGGAGTTTTTGAAAATACAGATGCTGGTATTGGTTGGTCAACTGTTTTATCAATTCTTGCTATGATTGTTGCATTACTTTTATCATTAATTCTAATTTTTTCATGGCTTACAAATAAAAAATTAGGACCCGAGACAAAAACCACAACAGTCACAAAAACTGTTGAAACCAAATATGTAGCTATACCACAACAAGAAATTACTGCTGAAACAGTACCATTACGACCAATTCCTACTGATTATGATCCTCGTCGTCCAATTGGAGAAGCTGTTGTAACAGCACAGAATATACCACAAGGACCTTATGATAGTCATGGTGGACGACCTGAACATGTTATTGTACGTGATGTTATTATTCGTGATGATCAACCAATAGTACAGGGTACTCAAGAACATGCATTTCCGGTTCGTGTCGAAACAACTCAAACAACATATCGCACTTAAATAAAGAAACGGACAATATAATTTCTTGCATTTATCGAACAGTATTTAGATTAGGACAACGAAATTTCGTTTAATTTTATGTATCTTCGTTTTTTCTTTCTTTTTCCTAGCATAGTTTCTCATCTAACAGGTACTGTGTTTTATCTATGTTTCTTTTCTTTCTTTCTTTCTTTTTTTTTATTAAATATTAAATAAATTCTCGCTTTTTTTATTATATTTAATTAATTATATCACATGTTTGATAATTTTCATTGGCAATACTTCTAAAACAGACAAGAAACATAGTTCAGATATTAATGATAATCGATTAGAATGAAAAAAAAAAAACAAGGCACTCTTGAAAACCAAAATCTAAGTCATGAACTATCGAATATATTAGGGGGGGAAAAGAACTTCCAGTAATTATATAAAACCGCTAAGACTTATGAATCTATCAAATATAATTAAGCTGAATAAATAGTGAAAGTTGTTTAAATCTGTAAATATAAAAGTACAAGTTTACGATTTTTATCAACGATATTTTTACGTCTGACAATCGATAGATCATATTGAATAACTTAATTCAATGTTCAATAACTATAATGTGAGTAAAGTCCACATACTTCACATGACATATGTCGTTACTTTTCAATGCATTCATTTATCTGTCTGTCTGTCTACCTAGTAAGATTGAAAGATACCGAGATCGATTGAGTCGTGAATATGCACGCGTTGTAATCGATATATATATATATATATATGTGTGTTGTTATTGTGAACATGATAAGTAAAGAACACAAAAAAATGATAATAGATGATTATTTGAAAATAAATATTATGTTTTGATGTGGTTTTTTTTTGATGTTATAAATATATATTACCAAATCAAATAATTCGAGTTATGTAGTTTTCTTTGAGGGATGTTCAAATTTCGAAAAAATAAAAATTGCTTGAATTTTGTAAATTTCACAGCAAGGAAAAATAGTAAATCTAAAAAAGTTTGGAAATTTCGATTATATTAAAAAAGTAGGTTAATTTCTGAAATTTCCTTCTTTTTCAAATTTGAATATCTGTTAATAAGTCAAAATTTATCTGCATATGAAGTCTTTATTTTCAATTGAAGAAACAAAAAAATGTTTTTGTTTTTGTTTAATGTTATTCAACGAGAGTAGTGTCATCATATATGGGGCTAGTCAACTAATATCTGATTAATGAAAATATGTCTTCTTTAGAATTCAATACCATGAAATTGAATGTAATAGTCTTCAGTTTGTGTACAGGTAACGCATTCAACCATTTTCGACCTTCGGACTTTCATTATTCAGTGGTTTAATGTAACCAAAAAACTGAAACTTACCTTGTAGAAAGAACTATAAAGGTTTTAGTTTAACTAAAATTTTTATTTCATTTGGTCGTATTAAATGATTATAAAAGAATAGAAAGTCGTGGTAATACATTTATCCAACAAGACCCGTTCCATTAAAAGGTAATATTCAGAAAAGATCACATTTCTGAAAAATTTTCTCATTATAAACAAAATACTTTTATTTTGTGTTTTTAACTAAGATAACCAAATGTCATGATTGTGAAATTTGTTTTTTAAAAGTTTGTTCGTGAGAAAACTCATCATTAAAACATTACAATGACTCATTCAGCAATATCTTTTTTAAGACTCACTAAAAAAGAATAGTTTTTACAATTTTAATAACAATAAAAAAATGATCAACCTATGTCAAATTGTAGCTCAGCATCGGATAATAGTACTATTATTTTCATTATTCAAAATAATCTATCGGTATTCGAAATGTAATAGAAGACAATTAGAACCATTTATTTTTCAAGATATTTGTACAAAAAAGTATTTGATATCAACTGACGGCTATCATATGTTTTCGTCATGATTCAAAACAAATGACACCTATCAGTGTCGAATATATGAAAATATAATAAAATTCAAATGAATAAGTTCGATTGTTTTATGTTCAAGAAAAGATTTTACTGAAAATCCTTTTTTAGCTAGATGGATTGTCTTATTTCAGTTTTTTTTTACTTGAAAAATTAAATTACGTGCATAAAACAACAACAAAAATTTGCAAAACTATTAAAGATATGTATATCTGACATGAAAATTTAACTGCTTAAATTTTGTGTCTATGATATTGTACAAAAACTTCCTTTGAATGAACATGTATATTGATCACAGCAAATAGAACGTTTTGTTGATTGATAAGTACGAAATTCAATATCATCTGCATCATCATCATCATCATTGTCATTGTTATTAAGTAAAGTATTATGAAGATTATTTCCAATCGAATCATTATCTTGGCGAAATAATTTTAATTCTTCACGTAATTCATTTTTTGTTAATTTATGTATAGGTGAAACAAAATTTTCTTCACTAGAAAGAAAGAAAGAAAGAAAAAGACATTTTATTATTATTTTATTAATAAATTGGAATATGTGATTAAATGAAAAATGATATATATAGCTAGTGTCTATGCAATCAATCGACCTATTGATCATATTAATATATATGTCTATCGAAAGTAGTAATGCTCAAATCTATTATGAATTTAATCTATTTTGTATATTAGATATTTAATTAATCTAATTCGCGCATCTAAAAGTAATGGCAACAATAGGTTTTTTTTTTGTAATGTAAAATAAGCGAAAAATGAATCAATCATTTTTAATACTTGAGATCGTAGCGAGTAAGAATAAGAATTGTTCTTCTCTATATTTTTTTTTAACAAGAACTTCACAAAAATTATCAGATAAAACATTTCATTCCATCAATTAATGTAAAAAGTATTCGACTCAACTAAATATCTAAGTTATTTTTTCATTTAAATAATATTTATTATTTTGAAACTCTAATGTCAATTCTTTAATAGTTAATTTCTTTCAGACAAAACTGATGTAATATGTATGATCAAGTGTTTAACTTCACTCATTGAAAATTTAGACAGAAAGTATAATACTTTGTTTTTGGAACATAATCTTTTCCATATTTGAAACAAAATCTATTACATAACTATTGAATCTAAAAGGATAAAGAACTAAACGCCTCTTCTTTCTAAAAGATCTATTTTATATTGTTGTACTTGAACATTACATCATATTTTATCTTCTTTGACGATAAATCGATGAAGCAAATCATGTTTGAGAAAAATTTCACACCTCATATTTTAATTCTTATTAAGGGTACCCCCCTCTCTTTGTTGACCATTTCTAGATCTCGAAGATGGTAAGGCCGATCAAAATGAAATTTTTACCACAAATAGAACACCTAAAATGATGAGACATGTGTTCGAGGAAAAAATTCTCTAAGACGGTTTTCATGGTTTTTTTATGAAAAACCTTGGTTTTCCATAGGTTCTCATCTTGCCAAGGGCAACTCCCTTCTAACTTCGTCCGATTGGACTGAAAATTTTTTTATGAATAGCTACGACTATATCTCAGAGGTAGTTTTGAGCGTTTTCAAAAATCTCACTTTCTTTTTTTTTTATAAAAAAAATACGTAAAGGGTTTTGACCTTGCGAACCCTATAAATCCGGATGGAAGCATCAGAAATTAAAACGGTCAAAACTACCTCTGGAGAATACTTCAAAGTATCTATGATAAAATTTTCAGCCCAATCGGACGAAGTTAGAAAGGGGTTGCCCTTGGCAAGATGAGAACCTAGAAAAACCAAGGTTTTCCATAAAAACCGCCTTAGAGAATATTTTCCTTGAACACGTGTCTCATCATTTTAGGTGTTCTATTTGTGGTAAAAATTTCATTTCGATCGGCCTTACCATCTTCGAAATCTAGAAATGGTCAAAAAAGAGGGGGTACCCTTAATAAATTTTCATTCTCAAGGCTATATTTAAACTTATAGAAATTTACAAAAAATTTTTTCATATTTATTTCAAATGAACTATTGAGCTTTTATAAGATTATCTTATCAGTGTATTCAATAGTAATTTACATAGCAATCACTATCTTCTAACAAGAAACTATTTTAGCAGCAACAGCAATTTTTATCATACTTGAAAACAATTTATTAAAATTGAATTCTAAAATAGAAATAAAAACAAAAACCATAAAGACTAACTCGGAATTATCATTATCACTGATTACTACCAATGGTTGATAAGATGGATCATCATTTGATTGAATTCGTGTTTGAAGAATTCTGAATGTATATATAATTATATATAAATTAATAAGAATAAATAAATGATTTACTTTAATCCAGATGAAACTTGAATTGGATTCGAACGAGTAAGATGTTGTACTAAATTCGGTTTATTTGATTTTAATGGACGAATTTTAACTATTAAATTTAATATTAATAAGAAAATATTTATTTCTTAATAAGAAAATTTATACCATTTTGATTTGAAGTATCTCGAATTGGTTGATTTGTCACAACATTTAATACCTTTAAAGAGAATAATTAATTCATAGTCTTCTTTTTTTTTCTTATTTCAAAAATTTAAATATACATTTCGATTCATAGCTGAATTATCCATGCGAAGAAAGAACAAAAAGTAGGTAACATAAAACATCAGCTGAAGAAAAATACATCAATCGCGATTTTTATTGGTTTATCAAATATTCAATGAACTTTTTTGTTGATTAGAGGTTTTTACTATGGTAAAAACTTGTTGTAATGGGTTTTCAATCAAAAAAAAAACAGGGAGAAGATTTAATTTCACATTGGAAATCGATATTATTAATTACGATTTATAATTTAATAGTATCATGTTAGTCGTTTCACCGGTGGTTTCTTCATCATCTTCTCCACAAGAACAAAAAGCCAATGAGTTATTTCCAAAATGTATACGAACAAGACAAGTTGCTTATCCATGTAAGGAATTTTGAAAAGTTAAATAAAAACAAAAAAAAAAGTAATTTCAATTGTAGTTTCCAATGTAACATCATCTCAACCAATGCTTGATTATGATGAATTAAAACGTTTACAAGAAATTTCAAATGATGCTGATGATAGGTATTACAAAAAAGATAAATAAATAAATAAATATAAAAATATTAATCATTGAATTTTATTATAGAGAAGAAGCACATCATATGTTTATGAAACAATATACATCAGTATTAAAACCTGAACCAAAGAAATATTGGACAATTCGGTAAACATATATTAGAACAGAAAGATATAAGTGAAAATTTTTAGAATTGACTCTTTTTCTTAATGATTTATTTACATAGATTAAAATAGAACTGAATTAAGAATCAAATATCACTTTGTACAAAGATAGACCTTAGCGATAGTAGTTTATTAGATCTTTTTATTTTGCTTCTATCTCAAACTACGAATATTGGAATCTCTCTCTGTACATATAAAAAAATGTAAAAGACACACTTTTGTCATAGCTGTCTCTTAGGATAAAAACAATGAAAAGATTTGAAACTCTTATAATAAATTATTTTAATTGAAGTCTGTCTTCGTATAAAGTTTCAATGCAATATTCGAGAATCAGTTTGCTAAGAGCTCTAACTTTTTTTCAAAATATTCTTAGCTCATTAGAGTTTACATGATTCATATAGTCTAAATTTCGAAGCGATGAATCAGTTAGGAGATTTCCTTCGTATACATATCTTAATAAATTTCTGACTGTCTTGAAATTGAGATGTCTTTAGGTTCAATATCATGAAATTACATCAATAAAAAAAAAAAGAATAAACGTGTATCGAAACGTAGAGTTTTCCTTGTGGTTGTTTCTTATTAGTTAGTAAAATTTACCAGAAGTAGTTAAGATATTTTTTTATAATTAGACCTAAAATTTGAGCTGATTGTATTCAGATATGAGTCAATTTTCAATTCAATAGATTTAGCATTTCATTATTTATGTTTATAAGTCCTAGTATTATTTAGAAGTAAAACCAGTCGGACAGAAATGATTGAAGCATCACCAACTTCAATGGAAATTCAATCACCTTCGGTATCTTCATCACAAATGTCAATACGGAGATCTCGAAAAGAGATTACACCATTTCAACGAGATATACAAACACTTCGTCGACTTTTAAGAAAATTGTTAAAACAAGAATTGTTTTTTTTACTTAAATTTTTATTAAAATCAATTTTTAATTAGACATATTCAACGAACAAATGCTGAACATGAACATATTTTTCAAATAATGACTCAATTTCCTCAATTTCTAGCACTCGATCAACGATCTAATTTACTTAGACAAGCTATTGAAATAGCTCATTTGGAATTATGCGAAGATCATCGACAACCAGGTTTTTATCTAAGGTTTCTTTTTTTTTTGGCCATCTTCAAGTTCTTCTATAGTATTACCTTCCAATGGCTTCTTTTTGATTTTGAAAGGTGGTGTCACTTCACCACCAATTACTTCTCAATTTCCGCCACTAGTATCTCAAATACATATGGGAACAGTATGTATGACAAATTAGAATAAGATAAATTTGATAATTTTATTGTTAGTTGACTGTCGGACAATGTTTTGGTTCGTTAAAACCATCACCCGAAGGCCAATTAAAGTAGAAATTTATATTTAAAAGTACTTTGATCTTTTTTCAAAGTTTTCTTTTGAAGATCTCCATGGTATTTAACAACCGAAGAAAATTGTGAATTTCTTAAAATTGATAAAGATGAATTTGCAACAATTAAAACAGTAATTTTACTAATTTAATAGAAAAATAATTTTTTTTTAAATTTTTTACGTATTTCAAATAGAAATTTGAACAAACTGAATATCAAGAAAAATATTCATTAATACGTTCATGTGGAGAATATAAAATGTGGACAAAACAACCAACAGATGAACTTGTTCGATTAATCGAATGGATAGAATATCCACAAAATACAAGTAAAATCTGAATTTTTAATAAAACATTATTGTTGAAAAATGTTAATTTTAGTTATTACGAGATGATGATCAATATCTTTTTGTTTTTTGTTTTTTTATAGTTTTAGCTAGTGAAGGTTTTCGTTGTCCATTTATTGCTTATATGAAAACAGGTGAATGTCATATTTTACGAAAAGTTGATGTACTCAAAACAACACACAATGGTACTAAAGTAAGGCAATTTATCATATTATTCATATAGATAAAATTTTTGAAATTTTGTAATTGTTTATCTAGAGTCGACAATTACGCCAAGTTGTAATGGGAAAAATAACTGCACCAGATTCATTTGGTGAAATAAGCGTCTTATTGCAAGAAGCAATGGTAATTAACTTAAAAAGAAAAAAATAAAATTTAATTCTTTTATTTTAATAGACTTGTACTATAGTAACTGCTACGCATTGTAGATTAGGAATTGTTCGTCCTGGAAAAACTTTAGGTAAAATTTGAAATAGATTTTCGAATTTCTATTTTTCAATTATATAGAATTACCAGAAGTAACACGTAAATTATTATTACATACAGCTCAGCGTACTTTTGCTCATTTATCACAAGATGATATTCGACGTGAATATATTAATCAAGAAACACGAAAAGAATGGACAGATTTTAAAAAAGATATTTTAAATGATATTATTTTCAAGAAAAATATTCGTTCTGGTCATGGGAAATGGCAACATTCAATGTCAATGTCAACTGCAGACCGTCTGACAAAATCTTCAATGCATTAAATCTCAAAACTTTATTTTTTTTAATATACATATGATCTTTTTACTTGAATACGCGCATTTCTTTAGATTTTAAACAGAATAACTAACGAAATAATTCTAATTGTAAAAATAGTTAAATGTTAAAATCAATAATGGAATCAAAATTTAGGGCTAGGCGGAAACTACGATATGAGTTGAATAGGCTGTATACTTCGAAATATTTATAGATATTGCTGATAAGTTACGACATTCTTTCTCAGATTAGCTAGATTGGGTAGTATATAAATAGACGTTGATCATTGCCATAAACTCTGGAAGCTAGTAAACAAGCAAGAAAAGCTGAAGAATTTTCTCTATAGTAGCAAATACACTGTTTGGATAACTTAATTTATTCTCAGTAGATTAGTTTGTTGAGAAAAATGAAAAAAGTTATAATATTCTATTGATTTTCACCAAGATGAATAGATAAAAATTGTTCTCTTTCTATTGGATGTTAATCTTTTGACCTATTGGTCATGTTTTAAAATGAAACAAAATCTGTTTTTGTCACATCTTAAAGCGTATTATCAAATGGCATGAGAAAAATACCTTTGATTCATACAATTTTTGTGAGAAAAATTGTCTCATGATGAAGATTTATATAGGCACACAATAGATATAACCTAAACAAGACTTGTTGAAATCTAGTAGGTTGAGCATAACTTTGTAAATGAAACCTAATTTATGTATAAAGTTCCAGATATGGCTAAAGGTCATCAGACTTATTTTGTACCAGTGTTCATTTTATGAAAAAACTCAAAAAATGTTCATACACAACGATCAAGTCGATTAAGAGCCAAGTGATGAATAAAGTACGATTTAAGATTGGTAAGATTCATTTTTAAGTTCTTAGAGTATGAACGAACAAGTTGAGAATTGAAAGAATTCACTTGATTTTCACTTTCATCCTTAATAGAATGCTCATATGGCAGACAAAAAATTCAAATAATTTCCATTAATATTATGCTTAAACGAAAATAGAAATGAAAAATGTATGACTGTTATAGATCTATATGAAATCTTTTGAACAAATAACTCATAAATTATTTCATGTATTTTTTTTTTCAAGGCTTGTTTTATGCGACACGATTGTGTTTGAGCATTCGCCAAATAAGGAAAGATTGGTTCATATTATCGTTTCATCAGAAATATCAAGAGAAGATCTCAATAGGAACAAGATTGATTTCTATTGCATACTTTGATTAAGAATCTTTTTTTAGATCATTGCTGAAACTTTTCCATTGAGCTCGAATAATATTTAATGCATTTCTGTTTGTTCATCATTAGCTAACCACTGATCAATGTGTCATCGTTATGACTTAAGAATTGATTGGAGAAATTTTATTTCAATCTATATATTAACAAAAATAGAGTATTGTTAGTTAGTTTCATTACAAATGATCCAAATTACGCTTAAATATAGTCTTTTGTTAGTATTTTGTCTTAATCTCATGTATTAAACAAAAAAAAAAACAACGAATAGTATTAAGGAGCAATCATTATAAACATTGATTTTGTTTTTGTTTTTGGTGTTTTACTAGCATCACAGCCTGAAAACTATAATATGTTGACTTCTATTTTATTGGGAATATTTGCTACAGTTATTTTTAATATTAGATGTGACTTTGGCAATCAAGTCTGGCGAATCAGTTACTATGTATAGCCGATCTTTCCAGTCATTGATATCCATGGATGATGCTTGATTTCGTAAGTGATACATTAGACCTTCTTTATCTTGAGTAAAGACAGTTATCGGAATCCATTTTAAGCAATAACTATTTAAGAAAAGTAATAGGTTCAACGGATTTTTATCTTCATCTCTATAATAACCACGACAAATTATTTGAAATGCTGATGAAGATGATTTGATTTTCTCCATATGTTTTTGAAGATGATTTTTCGCCATTGAATATGTTTCACAAAAATCTATCTGAACAAATTGCTCATTTAACAGTTGTTTCATTACCAAAGCATTGTCTTCGGTATTGTTATCGATCCAGAGTATATAAGATTTCGATGGAGTAGTTTTATTTGATGTTCTTTCAATATGGCCACTGGCAATGTTCGGCGATGATCCGATATTGCCCATAATAGAATTGCAATATTCTATTATCCAATTGAGATCATGATAGTAATTGGAATTGTCAATGTTCCAAAAGTAAGTTGCTTCATAATATCCATCATAGTCATCTGGCAAGATATTGATCGAATAATTTTGATATCTACGCGGTTCCTGTCTGTTTGGGCGAACTGGTTGTACATGACGACGAAAATCATCAGAAATAGCTTTTATGGTGTATAAGTCGAAAACATAAGTCTTATTAGTCATATATTTGTAAGGAATATAACAGTAACCTTTATCACCCTAAAAGCAAATCAACATATTATTCATCTAGCAGATATTAACATGGATAACAATCGAAAGTTTCGAAAAAATTCTTATGAGTCGTCTATACTCTATATATACTCTTGATTGGATTTAATTAGAGTCATAATACTTCAATGAATGTATTTTTTCTGACGTAATGTAAGAAACAATTCAATATATTAATAGAAGATCTTGAATTGTCTGGTCACATTGGATTGATAGAATCAAATAACTCATATTGTCTTTAGTGTTCAATAATTGATGATACTTATCAGCCTCGGCTATCGAATCTATCGTAGCGAATAAACCTTTTCGAATTATTGATAAGTTTTCTTTTTTTTTTGCTCTTAGATTTAATCAGTAGTCAAAAGACAATACGAACAACGTGTGCTCAACATCTTACTTATTCAACGTAATTTTCAAGTTATTTCAAAATATGATGTCTTTTATGAAAAGAAATCATTAACGCAACATTGCCATCTCCTTTCATACATATATTCAGTGTGATTCCCATAACTTTTCTCAGCAATTTGAACGAAAACTATGCAAATATTTATTTTGATAAAAATTTCGAGACGAATTGTTTTAGTGAAGAGTTCAAATGGATTTTGAGTCTCGTCTAACCGATCATACTCAGATATATACTATGTCGCTTGATATTATTCGAAAGACAATTCAATTATATGTCGACGTGAAGAAAAAAAAAACTACCGATTTCAATTTTTTCCTAATTTTATTAGTTTAATTTTCATCACTGCATTCCCTTACAGTGTAATGCATGAGAAGGACACTCAGGTTTACTTATAATGTTCTAAGAGACCTGCTGATCATTAATATATGAATTCTTCAGACAAACTCGATTTCCAGAAGTTGACAAAAACTTGTGCTAATCTTAAAATCTATAACAATTCATCAAGAAATATATGATTGAAGAAAAATATTGTAAATTAGTTTTCATCATTTTGTCTGATTTCTTTATTGCTTGAACAGAACATTTTTGTGGAACTCACGTATATTTTCGAAGAAAATAGTGAGTGTAAGTTTTAAGTTCGAGGTTTTGCGGCTCCCCACCCTCCTCCCCTTACAGACCATAGCAACGAAAGAGAACATTACAAACACAAACCCTCCCCCCCCCCCCCCCCCCCCCCCTTACAGACCGTAGCAACCAAAAAAGAACATTACACACACATACCCCCCATTACAAACTGCAACAACCGTATTCATCAAATAGTCGATGGTGGTGAAAAATAACTTCAAATTAGAAAATAAAAAAAAAAATTATTATCGAGTATATAGCAATAATTATAAATGAAATCGAGCGCGCTTAAATGAAAAAACAATATTTTCTTTTTTAATATACAAATAAATAATAAATTCCCGCTCTTTTCATCGATTCTCAAGGAAAACAAGTATAGTTGATGAGAAGTCTTTCAGTATACAGATGATGCGTCAGGTAACAAAGCTAAAGGCATACGTGAGTTCCACATTTGAGCTCCGCAGGAGCTGCGCTAACAAGTTTTTTACTAGAAAAGTTTCGACAGAATTCCGTTTTTCCGTTTAAAAAAATGTCTTCTCTCTTTTTAATAGATTAACTTAATAATTAAGCAACGTTGAAAAATATATGATTCTTTTAGATTAATACCATTTGTAAAACTTTATGTAAAATTTTTTTTTAACAAGCCCTTATTTTCACAAACAAAGAAGAGCAATTGATAGTAGGAACATTTTCAATGAATAATATTGACTATGCGCAGTAGGTGAAACTGAATAAGAGAATAGAAAAGAGTATTGCAATGAAGTCTATTCAATGTTCAATATGAGAAACATAAAAAAATGGAATTCAACAAATTTTCTCCACTCTGAATACTCTTTTTTTTGCTGATCAAGCATCTAAAATCAAAACATAAACGATGCCTATCAATGCTGTTGGTCAGAAAATAATTCATAACTGTCTCAAAATTTTTTTGTCAATTTCCGAACTCTGAAAATATATATGAATAGCTAAAATGAAGACAAGTGAAGTGTTTGTTGTTTCAGTCGGTTTTCAATGTACATGAAGTTTTTTATTCGTTTGTATAGGACTGAATCTGTCGGTCAATTCACTGTCGTATTTAATGATTTAAGTCATATTCACAACTCAATGCAGTTTGTCTAAGTTGAACGAAAATGAAAACAAAGATTATTTTTAGGGAGAAATATTTCGCATCAGATATCGACCATTTCTAAGTCTTATGAAGTTGTTCAGGTTCCAGAAAAATTTGTAAGATAATTATTTCAATACTAGAATGCTACGTTCTTTCTCTCATTTTCAGGTGATTATATGAAAATTAAGAATATTGAATTTTTGAAAAAAAATGCCTAAAAAGTACGGTCAGTCTTTCTCATCAAAGCAAAGCTTGGTTTCTCCTTTTCTGGTCATATCACAAATTTTAATATACACTCTAAAACCTCTTCTCCTATTTTATTTAAATCGTATAGTGCTCATGATTATTCAGACGGATATGCGTAAGAATCTAAAAGGCCTTGCTTTGCTGGTCTAAGTCTAACTTAATTAGTTGTTTTGATTCTAGTTCCGCCTAATCATACAAGCAACGTCAAAAACGTGTATGAACAGTCAAAAATGTATTGTTGTTTAGCTATCAAATGTGTACAACAGCTCAAAAAGTCGCAAGTTTCAGTTTGTATATGTGCTTTTGATAATACCTGTTTGCTTGAATGATCTCATAGTCTCGGTTTTGCTTTCAAAGTTCAACAATTCCATGCCATACTGCTTGATTCTTGGGCAACGTACAAATTCTACATGAATACGCTTGTTTCAATAGTAGTATTAAACATTCTTTAGTCTCGATGTATCAAAGTAGAAGAATAAATATAGAAATGTAAAGTTGAAGCTATAACAAAAAGATTGCTACTCGACTCTTTTTAAAAATAATTGAACCTTGCTCCTGTTATGGACAAAAAATGAAATTTTGACTCTTCCAAAGGGGCACTGAAATCATAGTGCGAATTTATAGCTATAATAGACAACCAAGGATTGAACTAGAAGAGAAAATGCACAATCATTGTCGGAGGATTGAAACCGTTGCCCAAGTTTTGATGAGCAGTAGCAATATAATTAGATTCATTTGAATAACATTGGTTCTAGATGTTTATTCCTACGGCTTTGCCACCTACATTAGCTGAAACTAGATCATGAGAATGAACGTTTTTTTTACAGTTATGATTTAATAAACTTTGCTTTTCGTTCATGCGTCCCTTTTGCTCTTAGCAATGACTCTGCTATCGATTTTATCTTAAAAAGACTTGAAAACCTTATACAGTCGAGTTCTTTCAAACACTGATCGATTTCAACCAAAATCTAAAAGAAAACATGAGGTAATCGACACAAGAAACTCACCCATTCTGTGCCCCATGAGTTTCTAACAATGAAACATTTTGCTCGATCACTATAACCAACTGCCAACATTGCATGAGTACCATGATTGTCGTTGATTGCTTCATCAGGTTGTGGCATCGGTACAATACCGCCATTTGTTTCAGCATCACTAAACGAATCGAATAGATCAATACCAAATGCGAATGGATATTTTTGAGCCAGACATGATTTCATCTCATTTAGCTTCACTGCTACAGTCATCCCATCTACTATGCGATACTTTTTAGCTTCTTCATAGCAATATGCTGATGGTTTTTGATTGATTTTTGTTATGTTGTATGGATAAAATGTTTCTTTGCAACACCCATACTTTTTCAATGCTTTAATGGCACTTGATATCGTACAACCTTTATCTTTCATGTTTTTTTCATCCATTCCATCTTCAAGACGAGCATTGTAATAAATAAATAGACGACTGACATCAATATCTCTTCCAATCTCTGCCTTTCTTAGAAATTCATATGCGCCTAAAATTCAATATTTGGTCTAATGACAAATAAACATATTAAGATCTTACCGGCTAATACATTACCCACACTAAAAACAAAAAAAAAATGAATCCGTCAAATAAATAAATTAAATTAAACTATAAGAATCGAGAACTATTTAGGAATACAATAACAAGAGGATAGCAAATTTTAAACAGCTATTTAGCACATTTATTCTTAGACGTATTGTAGAATTCAAACTCAATTTTAATAGGATACTAACCATGCGCTGGTATCTTGTTGGTCTTCTACCGCTGTCATCATTGATCTTAAGTCAACCAGTGCAGGTAAGTCCTTGTCTGCAAATTTTCGCGAGCTTGCATATTTCGGTAGATTAGATGGTGTTGTACTAGGCCTGCAGCCATCAAGACGATAACGTTTGCCAGTTGTTGAACTGACTAAATAGACTTCTTCGGCCATAAGATCTACAGTATGATCGATAATCTAGAAGTCAAAAGCGTGATAAATGTTAAAAGATATCGGCAAAAAAATTTGTTTTAATCATCATTGAGAAAGCATTTGACAAAAGAAAATAAATTGTTATTGTAAGTATCCGTTTGAGTTCGAATGCTTTTCAAAACTATCCTTCATAGTAGTATTCTGAAAACAATGGATTTGGGGTCACTTGTAATCAACTACTCTGAAATTAAATGTGCTACAATGCCAATCATAATAGATTCTATTGACTTTGAAAGCTTCACTTAACTATAGTTGTGAAGCGATATTTGCAAGAAAATGTTAGTTTCACAAGTTTATTTCTCGTTCTGACTCACATTATTCGTGTTCAAACTATGTAAAAAGAAAATTTTTTCAAGCATCAAACATTCTTCTGGTTAATTCAAATGGATTGAACTTAAATGTTGAATACCTTTATTAAAGATTTGAGACTTGAAATAATAGATATTTAAGTATTCAAATAGGGTGACAAGAGAGTGTCGTACCAACTGAGGATATTACAGCACACTGACTAATGGACAATTATAGCTAAAATAGTTGCATGATTAAAGGAAACTTCAATGATTCCATTTAACTCTAAACGCATGTCATTAGAATCATGAAAAAAAGGAGGGATTTCATTGTGATTTATTAGTCTAACTAATGGTGAGATTAAATCGTAATTAATCACCGAAACTGTCGACTTTTTTTAATCTTTTTCCCAAAGTTTTTGCCAGTTTTTAGAAAAAATCGCGATTCTACAAACACAATATGGTCCATCAATAGGAGAGTCATAAAAGAAATCAAATATCTCTGTATCGGTTCAATGAAATGGGAAGATTATTTGTTTACTTGTAGCAATTTATTCAAATTTTTTTCATACGAATATGGTAAACAAATACTTCTGTGAAATATTGTCATTGGTGTTATGAAAGCAATTTTACGTGTTGTGAAATACAAAAGAAATACATGTGTAGTGGTTAATAGATAATTTTCAATTGTCATATAAGAGAATAAGAAGCATAAGGCAAAAGGAACTTTATGAATGATTTTGTATTGATGCATGTAGAACAAATTTTAAAATTAGTTAGTTTAAAAGTCAACGGCTACAAAATTTCGAATTTTCAAACATAGAACACTGTTTTTTCCAAGAAAGTTGATATTTTGGTCTCTAAAAGAACTGCAAGTGCATTTTTTATGTATGGAGAACGAATTTCACCATTTAAGGGCACTAGTTTTGAAAACTTATTCTGTGAAAATTAATACAGAATCATTCATAACATTCGTTTTGTCTTGTTCTCAAATACTCTTTTGGATAACAGCTAAAATTATCTATGAAATACGAGACATATTTTTTTTTACTTCATAACAAGTAAAATTGCTTTCATGATACCAAAACTAATATTTAACAGTAGTATTTATTTATCATATCTGCATGAGAAACAAAATTTGAATGAACTTCTGCTACTAACTAAAAAATCAATCCATTTGATTGAATCGATGCGGAGATATTTCATTTTTTTTTATCGTATTGCTATTGATAGATCACACTGCACTATTTTTGGCTAGTTAACCTGGTTGTAGTATTTAGATCTACGACTATCGATACATCTTGACGTAAAAATCGTCATCGTGGTTCACAATTGTAATTATATACGCTTTGAATGAATGAGAAGGATAATTCCTTTCTCGCCATTAGCAGTAAATAGCCCAAAAAACTTTTTTTCCAATAAAATAACACTTATTGTTTAGTTTTTTATTGATATACATCTAAATAAAAGAAAATAAGTTTTTTTTTTATAGAACATTACTTACTAGTCAGTAAGATGAGCTGATATGTAGTTTCTCATAAGAGGTACTTAAAAAAAAACATCCTTTTTGGTTAAGCCTTTTGCTATTTGAAAGTAATTTATATTTCGGTTTTCTCATTATTGCAGCTATTTAATTCATCCTCATAGTTGTTCAAATAGCTATAAATAATTAAAATAGGTATGAAGATTTAAATATCTATAGGAATCGATTTAAATAGAAAAATGTTTATTTGAATAGTAATTCTTGTGAAATTGAATTGATCAGATGACCTAAATAGAAAAAAATCATTTCCTTACATAATAATACTTAGTATTAAAATGTATTGGAAAATCTCGATTAATTGCCAAAAATGACATGATTTCGTTGACATCGGATGTTTGATACAAAGAACATTAGTCTATTCGATGTGACGTCCACGATCGTTACAGTAAAATCACTTACAATCATACTAACCTGTTAGTGTTTTTTTGCAATCAATACAAATTCTATAGACTCGAATATATGTAAGTAATATGAATACCTGCATAAGAACAAATAGGAAAAGGTTTTTATACATGCTCGCCTCTACAAGAGACATCATAATTTTAAAAAAAAAGGAAAGAAAAAAAGGTTAGTCGCAATGGTAGGTACTTGTGCAACTCTTTCAAATTGGAAATTTTCCATTATCTTCTCGGTCATGCTTGTTTTTTTATTATTGGAAAACAAGATCATAGGACGAAGAAAAAATAATTTCGTACCAACCACTTTTAAAACATTGTATGTACACTCCCAGCTTCAAGGAAATTTTTCTTATATTGCCCATCCCTCACTGTTTTTTGCATCACATTGCTGGTAAAAACGAACCATGTTTTTCAAATAAACACATAATTTATATATGAAAAAGCAGTCAACCATGAAGTCATTAAATGCACATGTTGTTATTTAAAAGCAATATACTTATTCGGCCACCCTGCTATGACAAAATAATGTGCACGTGCATCAAAGGTTGCAGAATATTGTGTATGTGAAAACGACGCATTTTGTTAATTTGTATCAAGGTATACGTTGTATTTTTAGTTCAAAATTTGCACATCATTGTGTGAATTCTCTTGCCTATGTGTATCAGGGTGCAGAATCTGCCGCTAAAATGAAAAATTTCCCCAACTATAACGCTCAATTAAAGACTCTTTTGCAAAGTTGAACAATGTTTCCCTGAGAGAAAAATATATTTTTCAAAATATTTCCCCAGATTCTAATACGGTTTCAAAATATTTCCCCATACGCGCACACGGGTAGACTCTGCCCCTCTGATGTGTATACACAATCCTTTTATTTTGATGACACTTAATAAAGCTGATAAAAGCAAAAACAAAATAAGTGAACGGTAATTTTGATAGCATAATTTCACTGATACACATTATAGATAGAACATAGTTAGGCTTATGCAAATTTGAACTTGGTATCTCATACTAGAGGATGATTTCAAGTAATCTTTAACTACATTATAGTATCAATTAAATCGACGAATATCGTCACATAATGTCAACCGATTTGTACCAATTTCTATAAAAATTTGTAACCTTTTTTCAACGTTTTGCTACTATGTTCTTCAATGTGCACTGAAGCTTTGCGCATATTTCCAACTCGAAATCTTCGCAAATTTGTTGAAATGTTTGTCAAGTAAGTATTTATCAGAAGAGCTTGATTGTCTGATCATGCTTGTTTCGAATTAAGTCTTATGAATCGTATCTCCTTGCATTTTATTCAAGTCGAATACGCACGCTTATCATAGTTTCTCATGTCATGCAAACTGTCCAAAAATCGTCAGTTAACCATATTCAAACGTTTGGTCAATCTGTGACGGATTCATCAGTTATACATTCACCGCTGTTAGTAGTCGTTCTCTGAGCCATGATTTTGTTCTTTCTATTTTGCTTTTTCTATCTTTTTTATTATCTGTCTAGGATTACATATAAACATTGAGAATATCATGCTCTATCATTTACTGGCAAAAAATTAACTATCCTCCTTGGAAATTATATCATATCATGCTTTAGACCATTTTCTCTTATTCTTATTCTTATTTGGATATATACCTTCTAGACATGGTTTTGTCTCTCCTTCTTTGTCTAATAACAAGGTTTGCATTTTTTTCATATTATATATATATGTATATATATTAGTATTTATAGGATACCATAGAATAGATTAGATAATATGTGAAGACAAATGTTTTTTTTCTAATTTTTAATCTGTACAACGCATTCCTTGAACAAAGTATATTAAATATACGAAAAAAAAAACACAAATTGTTAAAAAGTGTCAGTATTGTATTTTGTTAGCGACGATAAGGTAGATCGGGTCGGATGAAATCCATATCACAAATAATTTTATTCTTTCGAGCGTGATCAACAAAAGCATTCCAACTATCATGTTGACTAGCCAATTGAGATAAGTTCCCAACTACATACAAACCATTTTTCGATCGGGTTAACATGACATTAACACGGTTCATATCATCTAAAAACCCAATCGTACCACCACTACGCACACATGAAAGTATAACAATATCTTTTTCCTTGCCTTGTGAACTATCAACTGTCATAATTTCAATGTACGGAGGTAGATATGATCGAAGACGACGAACTTGAGCTTTATATGGAGTAATTACAGCAATTCGTTGTTGAACTTCAATCGATCGAGGATCGTTATTGGATAACGGTTGTAAACATTGTTTTTCTGTCTTTGCTTCATAATCACTATTATCATCATTATCACTATCATGAGTTGAATTGGATGAAGATGTTGCGCTAGATTCATCATCGTCGTCATCATCTTCACTGTCACTAGAAACAGAGGCAGATTGTAGAGCAAGATGTGCAATTAATAATTGACAAAACCATTGTATAAATTTCGCTTCATCGTTGTTGAAAGATGAACTAGCATCATCAAAACTATGAGGTGACTTAGTCATATTGTATAAATACAATGGTTCGAGAGTAAAATGCATCATTCTTCTGGCTACTGAATCATCTGTTTGTAAACGATTGTCATAAAAGTATATGTTTGGAAATTGACATATGCTTGGATGCATTCGATATTGAGTATCAAGCATACTTATTGGACCATCTGAATATTTTACAAAAATAGAATACAAACGTGCATATAATGATTGAGATAGACCATAAGTATTTCCAGCATCACTAAGTACACATGGAGGAAGTTGTAAAGGATCACCAACCAATATAAGTTTGGTACATTTAAATCGAAGTGGTAGAAGAAAGTCAGCCTCCAAACTTTGACTAGCTAAAGATAAAAATATGAAAAAAAAAATTATTTACCGTATTGAATAAACTTATAATACTTTGTTCTCTGATCCAAATTTTAGTAATGCAATATATTAATTGAGATAGTCTTGCCTGCTCTTTACATTATTGAACAATATTATAACTTACCTTCATCAATAACAATAAATGCAGTAGAGGATTTCAGCGAATGCAGTCTCGTACTTCCACAATAATTCAATGTTGAAACAACTATCTTGGCATGTCGTATAATACGTGCTTCTGTTTCTTGAGCAATATTAGAATTAGGTCTTGGCTCTTCTTTCAAAACATTTACTATATCTTGAAGAATCATAAAATCTAAAAAATGATTGCATAAATGATAATCATCAGGTGGTTGACATCCGATGCGAATCAGAGTGCCTATTCAAATAAAATTCATTTTGACTAAATTGACCACATATTTTTCAACAGAGAAACTACTGACCAGGTTTGTAGGAAATATTTTGATTAGTAAATTCATCAAGAACACGTCGAGATAGTTCATCACATGCATTATTTGATGGTGCACAGAGAAGAATTTTTTGTTTACGTCCTGATTCTGGTAATTTAGACAGGAGTTTCAATACAATACCTGCGATTGTTCGACTCTTGCCTGTCCCTATATATATATATATATCATAATAATATTTATAATTTCTTGGTGTTATTGAGAAAACAGAAGCAATATACCTGGTGGACCGTGAACCATGTGTAGGTGATCTTGAATATCATCAAACATACATTCCGCAATAGCAATTGTCTTTGATTGAGCCATATTAAATCCATTCGTAGGACTTATGTTTGAAAGATCATAATCTGTAGGTAATTGAAAATAAATATCATCAATCATCGGTTTAAGTAAACTACGATATTGAGGCCATTCATGTAGATTATGTATAGCACCGATCATACGTCTTGATGATGATATATTACTTAATTTAAATATTGGTAATTTTTTATCTTTATTTTGTTTACCATATTGTTGGATAGCATTGGAACATGCAAGTGAAACATAAACACCAATTGTTGTTTGTAAATCGAATTGAAGCTCATTATGATTAGTATTAGTCGTATGATTATTGTTTGAGCTTTCATTTTCACATGCTACTTTAACTTTAATTTGTTCAACATGTACAATCATACCAAAATATGTCACATTATTAATGGTAATTAGAACAAGATCAAAAAGACCAAGTTTTTTTGATAAAGGTTTATAATTATCAGCTATGAAGAAATAATTAAAGGATATATGAAAAGAAAAATATAAAAACTTACTAAAAGTTACACGATTGGTTCCAAAAATGAGTGCACTATCTTTTTCTTCATCAAGCGTTGTTTTATCATAGAATAATTCGAAACTAATTACTGTTTCACGTTCTTTAAGGGTAGTATCAACATTTTTAAAATCATGGACAATCTCGCTCCATAATTCATGATAGTGTAATGGAACAAGACATGCCTGATAAGTCGCTAAAGCTTTATTGACATTGAATGTATCAATATCATCATCTGTTTTGTCTATAAGAAACATAAGATTTTTATTTTATTTCTATTTGTATTACAGAAAAACGTACCATATGTTGGTTGTACCGATTTTAAAGGTATTGGAGTCAAACTAGGATGAAGTTTTTCAGTATTAATTTTTGATGCATACATATAATTCGGTTTCCATCGAGTTACAATTCGATCAAGTAATGTACGAATAGAATTTTGTGCATCATCTGTCCATGATTGACCTGGTCGATGTACTCTCTCTTGACTAGAATCAAGAGTTGTGTTACGAGATCCTTGAAGAATTGTACCTTCAGGTCTAGATATAGTTTTTATTGCTTTATAATCAAACTTAAATAAATTAAGTGCCGATGATAAATCATGATTAAATAGAAACATCTTTCGGGCTTTTCGCCATAAACGTCCATCAGCACCATCAAGACGTTCTCTAAACCATGTATTTCCTGAATATAAATACTCGACTTGTTCCATATTCATACTTACAAGGACTAAAAGTCTACAGAAGAAAAGAACTTATAAGTTATATTTTTTATCGCTTCTTATCTTATTATGATACATAAGGTAAATATGAATAAATACGTTACATCATTACATTTTTCTGCGAAAAGAACGCTTTTTCATGAAAACATACAAGTAATAGAGAATGATGATAAGGTATGAGTCGTTTCGGGTAGAAAAAAAAACAAACTATGATTGAAAATATGTCTAGCCTACTAGACACATCATCAGATATGAGCAAGCAGTTGGCATATGCGACAATAAATAAACAACAGAACAAAAGAAAATCAAAATTCTTTTGTTTTTTTTTGTGTTTGTTTTTGTCGTGAATGCGAGAATATAAGAAACAGTAGGGTACACTGAATTGAGGTTGTGACATACAAATAATAAAACAGACGATTACTAAATGGAATAATAGGAAAGTACATTTAAAAAAAAAATCTTGTTTCGTTCTGCACATCTTGAGTTGTGCTATTCATTTTTGTTGATTTTTTTTCATATGATTTGAAGCAAGTCTATGTCTGAGCCTTCCATACTTTGCGGTAAAAGTTATATTTTCTCTACCACATCATGTGATATTTGATGTCATAAATCTGCTGAATTAACAAAAATGATTTGCATAGTATTTCATTGATAAGAGTTCTTCTTATCTTCAAATCTATCGCTGTTTTTCTTCTCATTTTTATGTTGTACTACAATACACTGGGTGTCATGCTCATCAATACTACTCCAAAAACATAAAGATTATTCAATAGGAATCAACAATATAAGATAAAATACAATTATTATCAAAGTCGTATATTATCATGTACTAATCTGGCTTAAAATCACTTTTATTCAGAGAAGAGTAAATTTCCATTGTTTTGATTTCATTCTATGTATTGTTATTGAATTTATTATCAACTTTAACCTTTTATGACCTTCAATAATCTACTGGTGTTTGAAACTTTAAAAAAAACAGAAGAAGCTGATGATGTTAGACAAAGTAGTATTTAGTTGTACTATAATGTTTTGTTTTGCAAGAATGAAAACAAACTAACGATACTATATAGAGCAAGCATTTTTCGTATGTGCTAATTATTGTGGTGCTATCTATGATATATTTATTTATTCCTTTGATAATCCTCTTTTGTAATTAAATCATTATACAAAAAATACTATTCAACAGGTATTCGTTTTCGAAGTATAGATCGTTGTGTAGTTGGACGAGATCTATGTGTTGGAATTTTGATACTCATATCACGACGTGCTCGTCTTGGTAAAAGTGTTTGTTGTCTTGACATTAAGACAGTCTCACCAGTCACTGGTTCACGTATACGTTTTGTACGTGCTCGATCTCGAGGAGATGTCCATTGTTCTGCTAACAGTTCATAAACAGCACCACCGACTAGAAGACCACGATTGTTTGGTAAAAACCGAACATAACAAGATAAATCATTGACAATCTAAAGACAAGATGTGTGAGAAAAGAATTAAAAAAAAAACACACAAGAAATTCTAACCGAAAGTCGATGTAAACAATCATTGCTAAATATGTTCCAAACACGAACAGTATCATCATCGACACTAGCTAATATAGAGCCATCATCATTACGAAATGCAATTGCTTGAATCCATCCTGTGTGACCGAAAAGACGAGCACGTATACGAGTCATTTCAATTTGCCAAATGACAATAATCTTATCCCACCCAGCCGATGCCTATTGAATTATAGCATATATAAGAATATTAATAGAAAAAAAAACAAGTCAAAAGATACTAACTAGAAATGGTAGATTTGAAAAAGCTAATGCACGAACATTACCAAAATGTCCTCGAAGCATACTAGGACTCAGTGGTAATGGATTATCAAAATTGTATAGATAAACAATATGATCGTGTGAGCCAGTTGCCTGAAAAAAATGAAATTAACATTGTTTTATTATTTACTTCTATCGTTCATTTTAAAGATAAATATCGAACTAGTAACTAAGACTTTTAACAGCAAGAAGACATTGCATCGATCTAATTCATCATAATTTCATACTTCAAATAATAAATTATCTAACTGATATATTTTATGAGAAGAATTTTTTTGATGTTCAATAAAAATCTTATAAAATTCATTTACATTATAAAAGAAAGAAAGAAAGAAAGTTTTTATAAGTTTTCTTAAACATAGAAACAAATTTTCTATTTTTTTTTAAACATAATCGACAACAAAAAAAGAAATTCATTCTCACCATCAAATTCAGTTTTGGATGGAAAGAAATCGATTGTACTGCACTTGTATGATGATGAAAATCGTAGATTTTTTCACCTGTCTACAAAAACGTATATGCATTTTAATCAAAAAAAAAATATATCTATCAATCTCGTTCATACTATCACATTCCATAATATTGTTCGACAATCCCATGCACCACTTGCTATTAATTGACTATCTGTTGAAAAATGAAGACAATCAGATGAATGTGTATGACCTTAAAATCAATCGAAGAGAAAAAAGTCTTTTTTTTTTCATTAAAGTTCTTCTACCAGTAAGTGTATATAACAAACAACCAGTTCTTGTTTCATACAAACGAACATTAGTATCATTAGCAGTTGATGCAAAATATCTATCATCATTCGAAATAGCCAATGCTCGAATAATACCTTAAGTTAAGTAAATATATCGGTCTTTTTTTTAAACATTTATATTCTTTTGTTAATTTGACATGCCTGCTTTTTCTTGAATTTTAAATGTTAGATGATCAAATACGGTATTCCATAAACGAATAAATCCATTAATTGATGCTGTAAGAAGTATTTCAAAATCATTTGAAAAAACAAGACAATTAATTTCATCATCATGTCCACCGTATAATGAAAGACTACGATTAGCAAACATAATTCTTCTTAATACCACGTGTATGTTATCAAATCTAAGTTTCAATGTTTGTTGTTATTGCTGTTCGGTTTTGCTTCGTGTAATATTTTTTTTTTTTATTGTTTGTCACATCGTAGGAAGAGAACGATAGAGAGCAAAAATCCAAGAGTTGTCGATTATTTTTCTTTTCTTACTTTCATCCTTTAGTAGTATTATAAAAAAAGAAATCGAATTTTTTTCAATAAGACTCAATGCACGAATACAAATGTGAGAGCACACCCCAAGGCGAACATTATGAATTTTCAAAAAAAAATAAACGATTTTTAAAAAGATCGTATAAAGAAAAATAAATTAACACTCGACTAAGTGTTTATTCAAAATATTATCATTATTTTCAACAGAAATAAGAAAGTATGATCGGCATCGGATTCTTTTTTGCGGTTAATAGTAAGCAAAATGAAATTTCGACTGAATAGGTATTTATCGGGTCATTGGTTAGGTCAGACCAAATTTCGAAATTTCAATCTGGTTTGATTCGTTCATATAATTATTCAACCTGATTAACAGGTGAAAATTTTATATTCTAGAGATCAAATGTTGATACATTACCTTATTATTCAAGAGCACTTCAACAAAGTTATTTCATTCCATCAACAAATACTTAAAATGAACGTTAATTTAGTGTTTTCTAGGACTTAAGTTGTTTGATAGAGAAGAGTTTATTTAAATCTAAAGCAGATGTATTATAAAATTCGTATTCTTGTTGTTAGGAATAGTGATTGTAAAATACAAATGTCCGTGTCTGTTATTATTATTTATTTCCTATATTCTCGTTGCCTAGATTCTGGTATCTGTTCATTTTATACCTGATTGTATGTTGTTTTTGTTATCATAATTTCATTTTTACAATTGCATACAAATGTACTGATGTAATCAATTATATTTCATTAATTCAAGCGTTTTCTTTTATGAAAAAGAATATTCATGATAATTGTCTCTTTGTTTTAATTTTCTATTTCTTGCAAGAACTTGTTAATATCTTATCTTTATAGTAATAAATTCAGCGAGCAATTGAACATTTATGCAAAGTTATACAATTAAATATATACAAAAAAGAAATTCAGGAATGTTAATTAACCTACCTTGATCTGTAAACCACATGATGGTTTCGAAACTGTCGTCAAGGCAGTCCAAGTTAAAAAAAAAAGCGTGGCCTATCGGTCGCTCTGACTTGTAACTATGATTATAAAGTGCAACAATAAGATGAATCTTTAAATATTTATGAATGAAAAAATATTCATTGAAAGTCAAATAGAATACATAATATTCACAGGTGACAACTGACATATAGTAATTTTTTATGTTTTTGAATATCAAAATTTAACATACACTGATGAAATTTATTTACTCCGCTAGATTTATTTTTTAGCCTGATTAATATGTATTACAAAATAATTTCGTTTTATACTGTTAAATAATACCATGTTTTACTTCTAGATTTATCAATTTATCATTAATATTATTGAAATATTGTACTCGAGCTAAAATTTCTGTAGCTTGTGTTAAATCCATTGTGTTCAATGCATTCGATAGTTGTTTCATATGATCATCAATTTCTTGTCGTATTTTAATAGCTAATTCAGTAGGAAATGTTTTTTGATCATTATATTCGTCGATTAATTCTTCATTTATTTCCATAATACGTTTAAGAAAATCTGATTCAACTTGAACTGATGATTCTTCAATTGTTATATTTTCTAATTTAAGTAAATAATGTGCACGTGCTAATGGAGAAGATAAAGTTTTATAAGCTTGATTAAGTAAAGATGATTGATCTTGAGAATATTTTTTTTCGATCTAAATTTTATGAAAATATATTTAAAAAAAAAAGACAAAAATTTCCATAAAATTGATTTTTACTTACTCACATCAGATTTATTTGAAAAAAGATCAGGATGTAAAAATTTCATTTTATTTCGAAACATTTTTGTTAATTGTTTTATATCAAGTTCAAAGGAACGTGGTAAATCAAATAAATGAAAATAATCAATTTCAGAACGAACAGGTAATAAAACATGTTTTTCACATGGACAATATGCTTGAGATTCATTTCGATCAATTTTACGTTGACATTGCCAACATTGTTCTATCAATGATGATGTATTGATTGTTGAACGTGGAATGAAAATGAATCTTGACAAACTTTACAAATAAATAAATAAAAATGAAACAATGGAATGCTCATAATATTCATAGTTTTAACTCTTCATCAGTTATGAAACTTAATTGAGAAACTAACATATAGACGGTAGTATCCAACGGAAAAAATAATTTTTTCTGGTTACTCTTTGCAATATAAAAAATATCGAAGTCAATCCGATACTATATCGTTAAGAAATAGATTTTGACATCGCTTATTAATTAAATAAGTATCTATTAATAAAAATTAGACAAGTTCGTTCACCATCTCACGTTATACAATATGTGACATTAACAGAAACTAGTGTCTAGTAATGATAGTTTTTCTTTAACATGAAAAATGAAAATATAATAAGAATTCTGAAAACAGGAATCAAGATCATTAGTTCCTGCAAAACATTAATAGATGAATCAATGCTACTAATAATCATCAAGAACTTTTGATCGATAAATCTAAAAGGATTGTACGAAAAAACTATTTGAAACCTATTTATTGTTAAGATGTTGATTATTGAACAAACCTTTGATTTCTCGATCACATTTATGAAATACTACTACTGGTCTTCGAATACTCAACATTCGCAGAAACAACAAAAGAAAAAGAAACTTTTGTTTAAAATTGAAGTTTTCAGATATAAAATTCTCTCTTTTAGGGTTCAGAACCAGAAGGGTAATAGTTAACCCTTGCAAGACATCCAATTGATCGTGATCTCATGAAGTTCAAGGCTAATATTAAAATTCATCGTAATTTCCCATTATTATCAATTAATATTTCGGCAGAACGAATCTTACGATCAGCTGAATTAATATTTACTTAACGACAAACGTGTTTATCACTAAGTTACATTGACAATATTATTTATTCGTTCTTATGACAAATTTAAAAAGCAATAAAAAAAACTTAACCTTGTCTCGCTGTCTATCTGCTTGTATTAATTAAATTATGAATCCTATATGTTTATGTTTGTTTTATTATTATTTTGTTCACCTTATATGGATGTCAAATATCTTTTTTATTTCACTTTTGCTGAAAAAAATTTGATTGATGTTCTGCCCCGAATCCCGTAAAACAAAGTAGTAACTAAGTGAAAATGTCCTATACAATCCAGCATACGACGAAGAAAATCATCCTGCGACATTTTCTGATGAAATATACGAAAGAATAAATTCAAAACAAATGACATAACTAAAGATGTTATTCTTATCAAATATTGAAATTTCAAATCTCAAACGAGTAATACATTACATGTCAAAAATGAAAATTATTAATAAAATCATCTTGTATAAATTCTTACCGATTATTAAATAATCGAACAAACATCTATAAAAAAAACACATTTTTCAATACATTTAATCATATAGAAAGGAGAAGAAAATTTTTATTACGAAATAATCAAATCAATAATTAAAAAAAAAACAAAGAAGTGAAACAATTTTCATTAAGTTATTCATTTTTTGATGATGGTACAACAAAAATATGTGTTGGTAATGTTTTATCAATTGATTCATCAATTTCTTGTGATTGTGGACGAATCATTGATAATTTAAATTTTGGTAATTGAACAAAACCACAAAGTGTTGCAATTAATGTAAAACTAACATCTGATGAACTATGTGGTGGAACAAGTAATGATGTCTAAAATAAAATTAATATTTTTAATTTATATAAAAACAAAATAAAATGAAATGAAATTTTATTTACCATTGTACTACCAGAAACAGCAACAATAAGATTGATTTGTTCTAGATTAACTTTATATTCATGAACAATATTTGATCGATTATGAACACGATAATTTATTTGAAATGGTTCTTGTAAAGGTACATTATTTGGTATTGTTACTTCAATATAAACTTGTTGTTGTTCAACATTAAAATCAGATAATGAAAATGTTGTACATAATTCAGGAATATGTGGATGACTTGATCTATAATAATAAATCATAATCATTAATTCGAATGAAAGAAAAACAAACTAACCGTTTCCAATATAAACTATAATCACCAACAAGAAGATTATGAACAATAGGTGCAGCTATTGGTTGAGTACGAAGACAAAAACCTTCAGTTACTACTTCATCTAATTTTAATTGTACTATAAAAGAGATAACAAAAACCAGTCAAATTTTACTAAAATTTTAAACATTTCACATTTGTTTATCAAACGAAAGAAAAATTACATACGAGATGTTTCATATGCATTTTTCTTACTTGTTAATAGATGGAAATTCTTTACTAAGGTGAAAAATATAATTTGGCAGTAATACGAAAAAAAAACAATCAACTAAGTTTCTATCACTAACAAAAGCTTCGGACTGTTCGAGCAAAATACAACGGAGATATTTTTATTTTTTACCATAATATTATTTTCAATCCATCCTGCCTATCAATTTATATATTTCAATGGATATACAGTCTATTAGAAAATTTTTATGATATTCTTCGCTGGTAATATAGATTTTGAAGTCTATTATTTCAATCATCACTCGTGTGTTATGGGTAGGAATCTGTATGAGACTCCGGACTCCGATTCGAACTCTGACTGAGTCGGAATCGCAACAAGCAAAAAAATTTTCAGAGTTGAAGTCGGAATGGGTAAAGAAAATTTTCAGAGCTGGAATCAAAATTATAAAAGAACAATCCTCGAAGTCGGGACTGATAGTAACTTTTAGGTACCTCATAGGGAGTGAACGGGCACTAAAAATTTTGTTCTTCCCCCTCCTCCGGTCATCACTTGTGACACTGAGGAAATTTTCAGAGTCTGGATCGGAATGAACAAAAAGAATATTTTCGAAGTCGGAGTCGGAATTGGAGTTAAAAAA